GAGATGAGGACCTGCTTGCTGCCCTGGGCCCTGCTGGGTCGGAGTCACATGGTCTAACACCACGGAATTTTCTAGATGGCTGTGGGGTGCACACCCTCACAGTGCATTGTGAAAGTATCTCACACAGTTCCTGGCACACAGCAGGCAGTCACAGTGTTAACTGAGAAACACGAAGGTCCCTAGAAGCAAAACTAGGCGAGCAGAGTTGGGATGGCGTGGGCGGCATGTCGCTGATGCAATGGGCGGGGTTTTGTCTTGGTCTCAGATCTCCTCTGGCTTTGGGACTCCACGGTCTGTGGTCTGAGGCTGGGGATAGCTCTTTTCACTGTCCCCCCCATTGGGAAGGAGAGCTCAGGAAAAGATCCGGCCATGCAGAGGGACACGGGACATGGCCAAGACACCCTGCTCACTGGCTGGGCACGGAGGGAGAACTCAGAGGCTGGCTCTCCTCTCCTGCTCTAACTGCTGTCGTGTGCTGCGGAAGAAAGGAGTCTGGAGGATGGCAGAGCTGGGCAGCGCTCAGAGCATCTCGTTCCCAAGTGTGAGCCGGGGAGCAGGGGGCTGCGGGCATCCCTAGAGCGGGAGAGAACGAAAGAAAGCAACCTAAACCAGCTCAAGAACCATCATCGTCTCACAACTTGACTGTTGCACACCGATGCAGAGAGCTCTTGGCCAACATGTACACCACTTCCTGGGGTTTTCTCTCACTCTGCACACGTATTCAGCTAAGCCAAGAGGACTGAGCTGCCAGTCCCAAACACCCTGGCTTTGCACAGGAGCACCTCAGTCCTCGAAGTGACCTCTTTGCTTTTTAACACTTTAAAGAGGTCTTTGGCAGCAGATGTGCCCAATGCAAACCAAACCCACTGCCATGGAGTTGATCCTGACTCTCAGCGATCCTACAGGACAGAGCAAAACTGCCTTGGAGGATTTCTAAGGCTGCAAACCTTCACAGAAGCAGGCTGCCTCATCTTTTTCTCCCAGAGTGGCTGGTGGGTTTGAACTGCCAAATGGTCAGCAGCCAAATGCTTTATTCACCAGACCTCCAGAGGTTTAGCTCTAGGTCATCAGAGAAAGGGCTGGCAGTTGTGGGCTAGAGGCATTATAAGAACTAGCAAAGTGGCTTATGGTTAGAACAGCAGTTAAGACTGTAGGATACATTAACAGTGGTAAAGTGAGGGAAACAAGGGCTCACTCTGTTCCTCCCTGGTAAAGCCATACCAGCAGAGCTGTGCTCAATGTTTTTTTTTTTTTTTGCGTTTCTTGGTTGTTGCTGTTTTT